ACCTGCCAGATGATGACCAGTGAGAAGATCATGGATGGCACCGACACTGGCCACTGGCCACCGCTCACACATACACACACTTTGTCTCACCATTACCGTCGTAATGGCATTGAAAGTGCTCAGCGAATGAGCAGTGTAGTCACCGAGGGACATCACCGTTAAAGGTGGCCAGCACCAGCACCACTATCATCACCGTCGAGAAGACAAGTGCTGTCCACTTGTCTCCTTTTTTCGCTCTCCCTTTTTCCCGCCAAGCTTGCTCGTTAGTTCCGCCAATTGCTGTTGCACCTGGTTAAAATGCAGTACACGGGAAATGCAACGAAGGACCGTTGCTGGTGCAGTGTTTTCAATTTTGTGCCCAATATGTCTAGCAAAAGATTTTTAATTCTGGTTAAAACTCATCTTCAATGAAAAAATTTAGACCTGCTTAGCAACTAGCCCTTTTTGACTTGATGACATTACCACCACTGCTGTCATCACCAACTCTTTACTTGATTATTCAGTCAACAGTTATTTGAGGAAAACCTCTGCCTTTTTACCTGTTAGCAAAAAAGCCAGAAAAAATAGTTGACAAGGATGTCTGGTGAGCAGGCAGACACACAGTGGTGACAGCTGAAAGCGCACACAAATCCTTTGTGATCAAAATGTGAGTGTAGAGACCCCAAACAGATTGACAATTGCAAGTGGTGTGGAAGGCAGTCACTGCTGAAAACTGAAGTGTTGACAGCACAGCAGCACTATAGTTCAGTGTGCTAGCAAACAAAATTCACCAGCCAGACTGTCTATCGGGCAAATCATATATCACTCGCCCAGGGACAGTCACTCATTCAGTTTTTTTCCTTGTCAGTGGCCACTGCTCTTGCTGTCTCTTTCTATGCTTTTTATTGCATTTAGCTAATTTAAGATTCAAGTGCCATCACCACCACTACAACCACTTGATGCATTTCAGTATGCAGATGCGCTGATGTGCCTTATATGGCCAACAATCGACAACATTTGCATTGGGTATACACTGTAACGCACCAGGCAGGCAGTAAGTGCAATGGATGCAGTACAGCCAGTGAACAAGGTGACAGCAGGACACTTTTTCAGTTTGCCTGTGATATTCCTCCAGTGAAGTGAAACAACAGAAATGGCAGTAGCAGTAGCTGCAAACAAAGGCTCCCACTGAGACCGTCATTCGCATGACCAAGTGCGATTTGCAATGGCACCAGCTACTGCTTCACACTCACTAGCACTCGCTTACACAGAGACTGTAAACAGATCACTCTCGATTAGAGTGCCAGGCATCTTCGTCTAGAGAGCTGATGATAACAGCCTCAAATACTCAGCTTCCAAGTATTTGACAGCAGTTTTTTCTTCTTTCTGTTTTCATCTTCATTTTTACATTCATTCCATTAGTAGCGGCGGCTTTTGTGCGGACCGCACCAACGGGCGCATATTTGTCGGCTGCTCAGCCACTCGAAGAAATATCGGCAAAAGAGGCGCCGCGTTGCCAATGCTTAATTCCATCGAATGGGCAATTAAGAGTGCGAATGAATCGGCGGCAGGCGACAGAAGAGGAAATAAAATGAAGTAAAAAGGGGGAATGGAAGAGATGGAGATGGCAGAAAGTGAAGGAAGGAAAGAAGAAAGGATAAAAGAAAAGAAGTTGAAGGGGCGCGCGCGTGTCGGCCGTTTAGATTCTAAAAATATTAAGACAACAGCATCAGCATCAGCAGCAGCTGATATAGCAGCTGAAGGAGATGATGATGAACAACACAACGGCATTGCCGCCGTTGATGCAGCAGCGGCAACAACAGCAACAGCATCGGAGCTCAATCGGCTGGTGGTCATAAAGTGTGCAAAAGGTGGTGGTGGTGTGTAGTGTCTTATTAATGAGAAAGATATTTACAGATGGAGAAAAAAGAAGAAGAAAGAAAGCGTACACTCAGACATTTCGGCATCAGACTCCGTCGGAAGCATCGCCGGCGGGGTCGAGAGAGGTGCATTGGAAGAAAGGAGAAAAAGAGAGAGAGGTGCCGCTGACGCTCTAGCTGCCTTTTTTAATTTAATGCTGCTGCTGTTGATGCTGCTGAAGCTCACCGTGACGCAATTNAAAGCATCGCCGGCGGGGTCGAGAGAGGTGCATTGGAAGAAAGGAGAAAAAGAGAGAGAGGTGCCGCTGACGCTCTAGCTGCCTCTTTTAATTTAATGCTGCTGCTGTTGATGCTGCTGAAGCTCACCGTGACGCAATTTTATGGTCGTAATCGTCGTCGTACTCATCTACCGAGGTCTCCAGCTCTCGATCGGACGTCGCCGGCAAAGTGACCATCGACCGGGCAGTGTTCAACGGTTCGGTTCCTCTTGAGTAGTGACCACCACCTCCTTGGCCGCCGCCACCACTACCGCTGACACTGCCTCGGTGGTCGCCCTTGCTGCGCAGCGGAAAGACCTCATTCTCCGACTTGGCCTTCAGCTTCATGTAGCTGGTCTCTCCCCGGCCATTCTTCCTATGCTGTCGACCGTTGCTCTGGGCACTGCCATTCGAAGAGGAGGGTGGCTGGTACTTGCTGGCCCGTGGAATGAAACAGTACAGACAACAGGAGTGGTAGAGGAGGAAGAAGAGGCCGCCCAGGGTGAGGGCGACAATGGCCAACAGGCGAAAAAGCACCCTGACGGCGCTCTCCTCGTCCAACACCGACTCGATGGCGTTCTCGAGGACGCTCTGCTCGACGAACAGCAGCCACAGCCATGTGCTGAAGGTGTCCGGCCAGATGCTCAGCCATATGCTGGCAAAGGCGGAGCCCAGCGCTCGGCCGCCGCCAAAGTACAGCAGATTCAGCGTGTACTGCATGACGACGTGCGGCGAGTTGGTCTGAAAGATGGTCGTTCCCGTGGCGTAGCTGAGGCCGTTTGGACTGCGTCGAATGAGGTGCTGGCCGTAGGCGGTGACGCCGATCCAGGAGAGCCAGCAGAAGGCGGCCATCATCTCAAAGGGCAACAGCAGCCACCTGGAACCGCTGGAGCTGCCCACCAGAAAGGAGGTGCCCGCACTCTTGAGCGCGTAGAAGACAAAAGCGAGGAGGATGAGGTGCATTCGGCCAATGCCGGAGATGACCGACTTGGAGGAGACGGCAAAGACGCCCGCCACGGCGAAGGTGGCGCTGGTGGAGACTCCGACGAGGAAGTTGCTGCACTGCAGCGCCCGTCGGTAGAAGGGCCTCGTGAGCGTGTCGGCCAGTCCCCAGAGCGAGCCGAGCACCAGCACCAGTGGAATGAGCAGTGCCAGTCGACAGAGCAGGTACTGGTTGCTGTGCGTCCGAGGGTACCGGAATTTGGTGGGCTGCAGCACCAGTTTCTGCCCGGCGGCGTCGCGCAGTGTCGTTGTAGAAGAGGAGAAGGCAGAGGCGGCGCCGGAGTTTGAGGCAGAGGAGAAAGTGGGCGGCGCCGTTGATCCGATGGGCATCATCACCACGAGAAAGATGGCAATGGCGATGAAGCCGTCAAAGATGACCACCGGTGGCGAGTAGGTGGGCGCCTCCATGGTGACGAAGAAATCGGAGAGAAGGCCGCAGAGCGGCGGCCAAACGATGAAGGGCAGCAGTGTCGTCCAGAAGCGCTCTACGCCGCCGTAAAAGGCGTCGTAGTTGTTGGTGGCGCCGATGCGAATTGCCTCAATCAGCGTGTGTCCGGTCAGCAGCGAGAGGTCCACTAGACATCGAAGAAGCAGATAGAGATAGAGCGTTCGAGTGCGATTGCCCTTTTCCAAGTGACAGGGCGTCGGTGGACGCAGAGAGCGACTGCCACCGTTGCTGCCACTCCCACCACTTCCGCCCCCACCAGCAGACGTCCCACCACTGCCACCACCACCACCACCGCCAAAGCCACTTGTCCGATGACGTAGACTGACCGAGCAGTAGATGTTGCAGTTGGGCACTGTCGGGCGGCACTGAATGCTGGCAAAGACGTTCTGGGAGATGAGCAGCGGCGCCGCCGGCTTGTACGTGCAGGTGCGTAGGCCGTCAAACATGCGATCGACTAGCTGATTTCCCGTTACGGGTGACTCGAGGACGGGCCACCGGTCAAAACGGGAGTCAAACTGAATACTCGCTTCCTGGCTGAGCGAGGCGTCCGTAGGGATAATGCGCTCTTTTGGGACGTCTGTAGTGGAAAAACGCTGTTAGAAAATATGCTAATGAGCAGCGATCGAGCTGTCAAACCTACCGAGACACAGATTAGACGGGTCATTGTTGTTGTTGTCATTATTATTGAAGCACACATTGATGGGGTAGAGCGTCGAGTTGACGGCCGTCCGGTCGTCTGAACACACGTACGAGCAGGTGACCAGTTCAAAGCTGCTAAAGTTAGTCGCCGGTCGCTTGGGATAGGTGTGACATTGACCCTCCCAGTTGGGACACTGCTCAATGCGAAAGACGTCCTCAGTGCAGTCAAAGTACATCTTGGGCGTGTGTTCGCTGCTGATGACGCTAGGCACAAAAAGGAGACCGGTGGAGGCGCCAAAGGCGAGCAACAGTGCGAGCACCAGTGTCTGCTTGTACCCGGACAGTTTGTGAGCAATTGGGCCTAGACAAAGCGGCCCAACCATGCTCACCAGCGCCGACACTGAGTTGATCCAGGCGCATTGTGCCCAGCTGAGACCGAGCTCGGCGAGGTGACTATTGAGGAAAGGATGCAAACAGGCAATGGCTGGCGGAAGAAGGGGCACATTAAATGAGGTGGTAATGAGCAATTTTTGTCAAATATCAGAGCAATTAATCAGCGGACACTTACCTGAGTAGAAGCTCAGATTGATAAAACTCTGTGAGGTAAAGTATCGCTTGGAGCGACCCATGACGATGAGTGACATGGCTGACATTGAGATGGCCACACTTCGTCCACACTACGACGAAGATAGTGATAATGATGGTGTTTGGACGGCAGCGGCCATTGACAGCATCATCGGCAGCAACACTGGCATCAGTAAAGAGGCGAAGAAGTATGTTGCAGCCGCCGTTGTGCTCAGCCGTTGATGATCCATCGAATGATCGGCGACGGCTGCGGCTGAGGCTGCTGTTGCATCGGCGGATAATCGGGCGCTGGTAGTGCTGGCTGTGGTGAGAGCCTTCTGTTAGTTAGTGTTTCAGTGTCAGTGTTGCGAGGCACTGTCCTCTTGCAACAACTGCTGATCACTGATGAGTGCGGGGCTGTGTGGTTGTGTCACGTGTGGCAGAGCATTCAATGTGCGGTCAGTTGTGGTGGTGGAGGGGAGACTCCGCAGACAGAAGGCGCGATGCTCCCTCTTTCCCTCTCTTTCCCTCTCTCTTTCCTTCTTTTTCTCCGTCTGCTGGTGATTGTCCGCCGGGCTCACAGGTGCTCCTGCTCCGACTGCAGTTTGCAGCTCCTGCTGATGGCAAACTTCGGACAGGTGCACCGCCAAAGTGCTCCAAGTGCTGCTGCTGCTGTTGCTGTCTACTGTGCTACAGTCTGTGCACAGACAGACTTTGCATATTGGCTGCTTTTGTGAACGGTCACGACTCTGTGTTCTGTTTCCTCGAACACCGAGTCAGCAGTTGTCGTTGTCGCCGACAGCTGGTCAAGGAGGTAGTGCAGTAGAAGGTATGGTGGTGGTAGAAGAAGAAAGCTGATCTGAACTGCTCAGTGGTCAGTGCTGCTGTTGCGTTAAGGAGCCATCAGGAGCTGAAGGACAATTGGACTGGTGCGGGCGCAAACTTTCAGGAGTGATTGCTCAGTGACCGGCCGGACATGCGGATAAAGGGAAAAAGCGAGAAGAATGCAGCTGAAGACAGCGGCAGATAAATGGGAACAACAATTCAATTTCGCTGGCTCTCTTGACGTGATCTGAGGGAAAATGATGTTGTTGCAACTGTTCAGCTGCTTCTGTCGCTTCCTTCTCTTCCGCTGTGCTTGATTCTACTCTCCAACTTCTGCCCTGCACTTTACTCGCCTACACCTCTCATGCTTTTTCTCTCTCTTTAAACGACAGTGTGCAGCACTGTGGTTCTTGAACGGGCGCCAAGTGTCTCTGGTTGTGGTGGTGGTGGTTATGATGCTGGTAGCACTGCTATGATGGTCACAGTAAAGACAAAAACTGAAATGAAGAAGAAGAAGAAGAAGTGGAAGCTTAGAAGGCGTTCAAATAAGGCATCAGTCAATTAGACGACTCTGCTGCTGATGATGATGGCAACCCAAAGGAAGAGGCAATGGTACTGTCGACTGCTACTATTTGCAGTAGAAGAAGAAAAAGAAAAGCCTCACGAGGAGGAAAAAGGAAACCGAGAAGAGCGAAAGGCGAGTAGTAGAGTGAAGTGAAGATTGTTGCTCATGAGAGGAAGGATGACTCTGTCTGCACTGCTGTTGCTGATGCAGAAGTAAACTCTGCGGGCAACGACCAACAACGACGACGACGTGCACTGAATTGTTGCCGCTGAAGAGCAAGAATGGGCGAGCTGATGCTGCTGCTGCTGCTTTCAAACTGCTACAGCTGACACAACTGGTCGTCGGCGGCGGCGGCGTCGGTGGTGGTGGTGGTGGCAGTAATGTTGGAAGCAGTAGAGTGCAATCGGAACAGTGCGAAACGTGAATAATACTGGCAAGAGAAAGGCTGCCACCGATGCGACCACCACCACCACTTCCCTACAAGACAGCAGACAATACTTCAGCTATTGCTGCTGCCAATGATTTGTGCGACAGAGTAGTGCATGGCATGCCTGTCCGTCTGGCCGCCTCCGTCTGGCTGTCACTGTTGAACCAAACCGAAGCAGCAGCAGCAGCTGGTCGAGAACAACAGGTACCGATTGCGCACACTTTTACTGACAGTAAAAAGGGCGATTCTACTGCTGCAACCCAAACTGGCGCCGAGCAGTAGTAGACGCGCTCCGTTTATAATGAGAAAAAGAAAGAGAGAGAAAGGGAAGAAGGAATGAGAGTGGATGGATGTGCAGTGTTCAGCTCAGTCTCGCACCACTGGACCACCATCACAATCACCATCACTACCACCACCACCAGTTGGCTGGTAATAGTGCTAGTGGTCATTACTCAGCACTCTTAACAATCTGTCTGTCTCTCTGTTTGTCTCTGTTTGTCTGCCTCTGTGTGTGTGAGTTCTGATCACCAGAACTGAACTCTACGCTCCACATCTGGCTACTTTGGCCAGTAACAACAACAGCAGCAGCAGGAGCAGCACTTCATCGGAACCACTCAATGACAATTGGCAGCAGTGCTGGTGGCGGTGGTGCAAGAAGAAACATAAACAAAGACAATGGCGGCATTCAGGCGAAGTGCAAGTACAGTGCTGATGCTGTTGCTGTTGCTCAGCGCACTAATTGGTGCCACTGACGGGGCACTTCTTCATTCTCCGGCTGATAGGCCTCTGTCTCGCCTGCTTCGGCCTCTGTGCTCCGAAGTCTCTCTCTTCGGCCACTCTCGGTGTCAGGCGTCAATTACACGGCCACTCCACACGAGCGCGTGTGTAGAGGCACTGACTGGCTGACTGACTGGAGGCAGACAACGGAGACGAAACTTTTGTTGCTTCGAACGGGGCTGATGGCAGCAACAACGGCGGCGGCGGCTTACGCTTTGTAGACTACTATTACAAAAAAGCGAGAGAAGAGTAGAAGACGATAAACATGATTGGCGTGCCCCATTGATAGGATGCAGAAGCGAGAGATGCTCGTGCTGAAACACGCAATCCTCTACCGTAGTGTTGTGCCTTGTGTGCCGTGTTCAAATCGAACAGTCACAGTCAACATCCACTCTCATCTGATCTGATGATGTGCGACGTGATGGGCGATGGACATAGGAACAGAAGAGTAGACAGGCAGCCGCACTGAATGATGATCAGAGAGGACAGCTAGCTAGCCAGATTGTCCGACATGGCAACAGACACTGCTCAGGAGGTACTACTGATCGAGGTAGAGGAAGAGAGGAAGGGAAAGCGAGATGCAGCCAACACGAGTGAGCTTCAACCAGTCAACCAACAACAACAGGCTGGAAGCATCCCCTCTCATTCCAAAGCATCGATCGATTTATAGCCAACTGAGTGCTCCTTTGCTGCCAATTAGTAGTGGTGGCAGTCCTTCGATTGGCATTTTCAAGGTTAGGCTACTACTCTCTCCACTACCAACACTGACTGTGTGCTCATTACTCTCTCTCCCCATCCATTCACTGACTGCCATCAGACGACCACCACTTCTGCTGGCCAGTCACACAATAAACGGTTCAATTGAGCGTAATCAACGTCAGCAGAGCAGAAAAAGATGATGCTGAAGAAGCTAGGCTCCAGTGTGTGCAGACTGAATAGCTGCCATTCGGCACCGGCATTTCGAGGCATCAGTCAGGCATGGAGCGAGACGGCGGCCAAGGCGATCAGCGGCCAGCTGAAGACAATCGAGTCAGAGGGCACGTGGAAGAGGGAGCGCATCATCACCGGCAGACAGGGGGCACACATTCGCACGGCGGAAGCAGGTGACAGACCGGTGATCAACTTCTGCGCAAACAACTACCTCGGACTTTCGGTAAGAGGAAAAGGGGGGATAATATTCCAAAGAATTCAAACATTTAACGCTACCTTTTACTAGTCTCATCCTGAGGTGATCGAAGCGGGCATCAACGCACTGCGCTCACGCGGCGCAGGCCTCAGCTCGGTGCGTTTCATCTGCGGCACCCAGGACATCCATAAGGAGCTGGAGGAGAAGATTGCCCGCTTCCACGGCCGCGAGGACGCCATCCTCTACGCCAGCTGCTTCGACGCCAATGCGGGCCTCTTCGAGGTGCTGCTGGGCCCCGAGGACGCCGTCATCTCCGACCAGCTGAATCACGCCAGCATCATCGACGGCATCCGCCTCTGCAAAGCGCAAAAGTTCCGCTATGAGCACCGGAACATGGCTCAGCTGGAGGCTTTTCTACAGCAGACGCAGCCGCCCACTGCGCGGACGCGCCTCATCGTCACCGACGGCGTCTTCAGCATGGACGGCAACGTCGCCCCGCTGCCGGACATTGTCGAGCTGGCCCGGCGCTACGACGCCATCGTCTTCATCGATGAGTGTCACGCCACCGGTTTCTTCGGTGCCACCGGTCGCGGCACTGAGGAGTTCTACCGCCTGCCCACCGGCACCATCGAGGTGATCAACTCGACGCTGGGTAAGGCGTTGGGCGGAGCAGCGGGCGGCTACACCACCGGCCCAAAGGAGCTGATTGAGCTGCTGCGGCAAAAGTCTCGGCCGTACCTCTTCTCGAACTCGCTGCCGCCGCCGGTGGTGGCCACTGCCAGTAAGGTGTTTGACCTGCTGATGGCGGACAGTTCACTGGTAGAGAGGGTGACGGAAAATACGAAGCACTTTCGCGGCTCAATGAAGGAGGCGGGATTCAACATTCTGGTGAGTATATTTTGGTCCAAAAAAGACAAATGCTTGCTAAGTAAACAAATGACCTTTTTACAGGGTGATGAACATCCGATTTGTCCGGTGTACGTCGGTGATGCACGACTTGCCACAGCTATGGCCGACGCCATTTTCGGTGAGTGGGTAGCGGTGATTATAAATAGAAGCTGACGTACATCCGCTGCTGATTGCTGCGGTCTTAAAAATAGATACACGATTAATCAACTTTCTAATCGCTTTTCTATTTGCATTTTTTTGTCGCAGAAAAATACGGAATCTACGTTGTTGGATTCAGCTTCCCGGTTGTTCCCAAAGGCAAAGCCCGCATTCGAGTGCAAATCAGTGCGGCTCACTCAAAGGATGATGTGCAGAAGACGATCGACGCCTTTGTGGCAGTTGGCCGACAGTTGAATGTTATCAAGTGAAATCGCGCTTACGCTCATAAACGTTTGATAAATGAAACTTCAAATAAACAAATAAAAAAGCAAAATGTATATTTACATGCAGTTTTTTTCAGAATCTTCTTGTATAATGAACTAATCTTCTTTGTCCTCTTCATCATTACTGCTTTCTTTTTTCTCTTCGCTGGCATCTTCTTTTTGCTGTTCTGAATCGGTCGTTTCTTTTTTCACCTTTTTCTTATTCTTTAGTTTTTCCTTTTTCTTTTGTCGCTTTGCACGCTTTTTCTCAGTTAACTCTTCTGCTTTTTTACGATTCTCCTCGAGCTTTCTGTGATAATCAGCGTCAAGTTGTTCCTGAAAGTAGATCAATGGTTAAATATTATGACTTCAAAACCCTTTAAAAGTATGTACATTTCTTGCTGCAGTTTCAATATTATGCAAACGGGCGTACTCTTTTCTTCTTAGGTGACGATAAACGTGAAATTCCCCACTGCCAGCACCAGCGCTTGATCCTAGATAAAATGGACATTTAGTTGCACGCTGATTGACATACGTTTAAAATTGCATACCCATCACATTACGAACAAACTCAGGCGCGTTGGCAAAGTTTTTTGACGTTTTCCTTGTCGGAATCTCGACAGGTTTTTCCTAAAAAGGGTAACTTTTTAGAAATAGAGATAATAAAATCAAACTATCACTTACAATGTTATTAAACAGCTTTTCAAGGCGGACTTTCTGCACGTCATATGCCGTGAAAGACTTGAACTTCTTTGATCCCTCGTTACCGCTGTCATCACCTTTTTCCGTCATGATGAGTTTTGGCGGTGGAGAAATTCAAAAGAAACAGATTTGAAGTCAAACTCAAATCAACGCGATTCAGTTGTTTTCTTTTCTCGAGATTTCTCAAAACAAGCCGCCGCTGTCGACACAGCTTCTGTGACAGCTATGAAAATAGCCAATTCAACTCGAACTTTTTTTTCAAAATCTTTTTTCAAACAGATTTTATCATCAACAACGTTGATTCAACATTCAATAACTTAATTTTTATAGTCTAAAAAACTGCACAATTGCAGGAAAAGGCCAGTAGTAGTGTGAGCAACAGTAGTAGTAGAGCACGTACAGGGAGGATTGAAAAGAAGAGTCATTGAGAACAACAAGTGATTCTGATAATAGTTTGGTTTCTACAAAAACAAATGTCTAACACCAAAAAGCTGATCAGAGCGACAAAAACGATAACGAAAAATAGTACAGATCAGATTAGACAGTGTATTTGACTGAACAGTAAATGTTAAAAAAAGTAAGTAAGTTTGAGCTAATTTGGCATTTGACACCAGTCAACTTGCGTTCACACCGACACATCCACCGAACATGTCTCTTCTGACTTTAGTGGTCGCCCTTCTTGATGCGCCCAATGAAGGTGTTCCGGAATGAGCCGTAGTAGAGGTCACCGGTGGCGGGGTCGACAATCGCCTCGGAGATGGAGTTGAACTTTGAGGAGCCGAGGATGCGTTTCACCTCGCCGGTGACGCCGTCCAGCTTGATCACAGCGCCGTCCCGCTTCGGCAGCAGCTTGTAGACGATGTGGCCACTGTAGAGGTCCCAGCTGAGCGTCTCCAGGCCGTGGTTCGGGTAGAGGTTCTCGTGAATGTACTTCAGCGCCACAGAGAGCGTGTACGCCGTCCGGGCGAGCGCCTTTCGCGTGAATGGCCAATTGGTGAGGTAGTCACGGAAGAGCTTGCTGTCTGGTCGGGTGGTGAACATGCCCACCAGAATGTCACCGGTGCTCTCGTCCAGGCGAATGTTGTCAGGCTGAGAACATAAAGAGTGCGATAAATTGAGAGATCATTAGCATTGAACAACAAATGACTATTAGGCGAGCTGATTAATGAGGCAGGCGAAGGAGGAGGAGGGGTAGCTATTGTTGTTTGTTCAATTGTGTCCCTTTCCCTCTGTCTGTCATTCACTTACCTCACCCGGCAGCAGCTTTCCAAAGAGGGTCACTTTGCTTTCAGGCACCACTGTTCCGCTCTTGATTGCCTCCCTCACGTCCTTTAGCGGGATCTTCTTGATGGCATAATCATTGGTCACTGTGATGTGATGAGGGTGGAGAAAAGTTAAGCACATTAAATCATCAAAAGGTTAGCTGGCAAGTAGACAGTGCCCAACTCACCGGAAAAGAGCAGGTGCTTCTTATCGGCGCTAATCTCTAGGCCATTCAGCAGAGCCTGTCCGTCGGTGACCTTGCTCGCCTTGCCCGCCTTCAGATCGACCGCCAGCACGTACCCGGTGGTGTCGTGCTCGACGATGCTCCACGCGATCTGGTCGAGGTTCCACTTGGCCGTGGAGACGCTCACGTACAGCAGGCCGTCATCGGTAGGGTCAAAAACGAGATCGTTGTAGATGGCGGAGCCCTCGGTTTGGCCCTTCCATTTGAGGTGCTCCTTTGACTTGGTGGTGAGGTTCACGCGGTAGACGCCGCTGCCCGACTCCACCAGGTACAGGAAACCGTCAGTGTGGTGGCGAAGGCCGAGAACACGACCGCACTTGACCAACTTTGAGATTACCCCCGGTGCTGTGGATTAAGGGAAGATTATATTATATTGAAGGAATGAGAATGAGGAATGCTCACCGCAACCGTCGACAGCAGCGCCAAAGTTGACAATCTCCTCGATCTTCTCGCTGTCCTTGTGCACCCTCACCAGGCGACCGTCGGCCAGACCGGTGTAGACGTAGTCGCCGATGACGTGCAGCGACTCTGGCCCGTAGAGCTCGTCGACACCAAGCAGCTTCGCCTTGCTCACCAGGTCGTCATTCCACGGCTGTCCTTCCAGCCCTCGAAAGAGGTGGTCATTCTGGTAGGCGACCGGCTTGAATTGGCTGAAACCAGTGAAGAGGTGGTCCGGCAGCAGGCCGAGGATGACGGAGAGGGCCGCCGAGTAGAAGAAGATGTCAAAGACGAGCTTGTACAGGCGCGAGAAGATGTCCTTGATTTGGGCCATCGTCAGCTGGAGGTGGGCGAGAAGAGGAGGAAAGAGAAGTTGGAAAAAAAGGAAAAAGAAGAAAGACGGTGACAGTCAAATGTCAGGTGACTGAATTGTCGAAGTGGATGAGAAAGAAAAGAGAAGGCTGATGAAGGTGAGTTCAGGTAGTGTGCGGTGATTGAGGTGAGTTGAGGTGATGATGATGATGATAGTGGTGGTGGTGGTCGTAGTTGCTGATAGTTCAGAGTAGTGCAAGTCTTGTGCCTGTGTGTGACAGTGACTGTGACTGCGACTGGGTGAGATGATTGGGTGAACTGCAACTGTCCGCGAGCGCTGAACGCCGAATGAAGAGCGGCGAAAGAGAGGCAAAAATCGGCGGCAGTTTGCCGATTAGTCGCAGTGGTTGTTCGGCTGCTACTGTCGTGGTGGTGGTGGTAACTGGACTTCAGCAGCAGCAGCAGCAGTGGCGACTGCAGTAGTACTTACGCAAGCTTTTCGACTCTTAATTTGACATCGATTCGACGACGTCTTCCTTTTCTACTGCTTCCACGTTTTCTGCTTCCACTTCTTTTTCTTCTTCTTTCCTCTACTGGTGCTTCGAGAGTACTTGGTTTCGCCGTCGACGACGACGGCTAGTTATGATGAAAAAAGCTGACTGACTGACTGTCTGTTTGTCTGTCTGTCAGTCAGTTTGTCTGCTTTCCAATGAGTGCTTCTTCTACTACTTCTTTTTCTTCTTCTTTTCGCCTCGGTAGGCGGCCCGTCTAATTACACCACGTCACTAGGCCGATACTCAGGCAGCAGCAGCAGCAGCCAACCAGCCAACCAGCCGACGGCGTGTGATCTTGCCCTCGATTGTGCGATTGCCTCCGAGCTTCCACACACACACTTCTCGCTCCGAGATGCTTTAGTTGCGGCAGAAAAGCCGTGCTGTTGTTGTTGCTGCAGCAGTAGAAGACGAAAGCTGCAGCCTAAGCTTCAGCGCTCTGAGCGCCTTTCTTCCTTTCCACCTGTTGCGCTACCGATGATGGTAAATGGTGAGCGAAGAAGTGGACGAAGAAGGCGAAAACGACGGCTGGAGTTGATGAAGCGGTGAACCGGCGACGGACAGATGACGGTGGTGGTGGTAGTGGTGGTAGTACGAGTACTACTGGCAGCGGCACTTGTGGTAGCTCACACACTTGTGCTGCTCAGCTAAAATACTTGTGTGAAAAAAGGTATATCCAGTGGTGCTAAGGTGCCTCTACTTCACTCACCATTTACCAGCGAGCTCACTGACAAGTGGTGCAAGCCTTTGTTGATGCTGATGCCAGTGGCGCCGTCAGTTGAGCCCCGCTCACACAGTCTGCACAGTTTATCAGCAGCCAGAGAGACCAGTTTGAGTTCAAGTGAACGCTGTCCTGTCAGTGCTCAACAAGTGGCGGTAAACAAATTTGTGTTCAGGCTATGGTATGTGCCATCATTTGAAGTGGAAAAAACTAAACGACGAAGTCAACAACAACAACCAGAGGCAGAGGCAGAGGGCAGGTCGTGCAAGACACCAGACGCGAAATGTACACTCTGACACTACGCTGGTGACATACAGTCAGAGAAAGAAAGAAAAAGAGATTACATTAGCTTCAGGAACTCCAGTGTAGCAAATGCACCAAGTGAAGCATGAGAAGGAAAATAATTGTAAGGCATTGAGCGGTGTTGACGCTGCTGTTGCTGCTGTTGCTGCTGCTTTAACGCGGACCTAATTAGTGCGAAGCTTACCTCACTCTTACATAAACTCCACAGAAATCAACAACAACAGAGTCGCTTTCTTCAATTAACGACAAATAGCTTCGGCAAATAGGGGAAAAAGGTAGGAGGAAAGAAAATCTGACTAAGAACAGTGCGAATAGATCTTGTGCAAATGTGACAAAAGTTGTTCAGTAGTCTGACGTCAGATGTGATGGGCAACTGTGATGAAGAGAGGAGGGGCACTNCAAATAGCTTCGGCAAATAGGGGAAAAAGGTAGGAGGAAAGAAAATCTGTCTGTGAACAGAGCCAAGAGATTTTGTGCAAATGTGACAAAAGTTGTTCAGTCGTCTGACGTCAGATGTGATGGGCAACTGTGATGAAGAGAGGAGGGGCACTGGTGCTCTGTCTCCTTGAACGGTGAAACAACAGTGACAGGAGCTGAAACACACACACTGTCTGGGGACAAATTGGGCAATTGTTGGCCCACTATCTAAGTCAGTCAGTTTATCCTCTGACTTGCAAATGAGACAGCTTAGCCTATGATACAGCACTAATCGATCAGAGAAAGTAGACACTTAAGGAGAGTAAAAGNTGGTGCTCTGTCTCCTTGAACGGTGAAACAACAGTGACAGGAGCTGAAACACACACACTGTCTGGGGACAAATTGGGCAATTGTTGGCCCACTATCTAAGTCAGTCAGTTTATCCTCTGACTTGCAAATGAGACAGCTTAGCCTATGATACAGCACTAATCGATCAGAGAAAGTAGACACTTAAGGAGAGTAAAAGCAAGCGACAAAGCGAGACCAAATCTTGACGCCGATGGTCACGATGCCGATGCAGTAATCGACGACAGCAGCAGTGCTTACAGGGATCAATAGCAAATTACAATTACAATTACAATTATTACAACGATAATACATTAACAACCTTTCCCTCTGCCTTGCAGGTGTACACACAGCAGCACAACACACACACACACACAGATTGGCAGCTACTGTTCAAGGAAAATTTCCACCATTGTTTTTATGAATAAGTACTTTAATTTGGCCAAAATACCAGGAAAAAAGAGGTAAACAACAAAAATAAACATTTCTTAAGAGAAGGGACAATTGACAAAAAATAGAGAGAAACGTCGATAACAGGGAAGAGTGCAGCTACTTTTCAGTGGAGCAAACAGGCTGTCGATAGAGGAAAAATGATGATAAGTTATTGACAAAAACTCATCATCATAGTACGCGGGAATTTTTGTTGGAAGATTTTAGTCAGAGAAAAATGACTTCAAAAGCTATAATTCGTCTTTTGCTTTTAACTTTCCAGTCGAACTTGCCTTATCAGCGGCTGAAGGTGATGACGCCGTTTTAGCGGTACCTGATTTTGCTGATGATGCAGATGTTGAGGATGAGGAAGATTGCTGTTGTTTTTGTTGCTGACTGACTTGAGATGAGGAGGAAATCACAGTTGAGCGTTGAAAGGCACTTTGCGGCAGCACCAGCCTTCCCAAATAGGAATTAGCATAGGAGCCAAGGAGAAAGTGTCGCTCTCCCTCTTCTGTTCTCTTTACCTCAAAGGCCTCAGAAAGGGCACAGGTGGCTCCGTCAGGGGAGTGCAGCGAGTGCAACACCTCTCCAGTGGCGCCATCAATCTCCAGAACCATTCCGTAGCTGCACATGCCCACGTTCAACAGGTGGCCAGTTTTGAAGTCAAAGCCAAAAGCAGTGAGGCAGTCTTTGCCCAAGAGGACTCCCGCCTTCTCAATGGCAAAACCAATCGCCCGAC